TGATTTTGCTGCTGCAGCTCAAAAAAAAAAAAATATGATCATGGTCCAAGAAAAGCAGGAACAGAAAAAAGCACTCTGACATGGCCCTTTATAAAGTCTGCGAGTCAGTCAAGAAGTTATGTAACTCAACTACTTTCATAAATCTAGTTCTTGTGCAATTGTGCAAAAAAAGAAACTAAAGAACAAAAATAGACTTTTATGATGTGAAACTTAAGATCGAACTCTGCAAGTCTTACAGATATGCTGAAAGACATGGATTCATATAAGCTTTGCTAGAATGTTAAAATGATTTCACCTAACAAGAATAGTTTTGCATATGTCCTAATTTAAGAGCGAGATATAATAATATCTAATCAGATTTTCACAACCTACTCTAAGTAAGCTGTGAAAGAATTAAGTTGTCAATGTAAGACTGAGCCTGTGAAACTTCAGTTTATTACAAGTTTAATAATTACTGAGTAACAGTGAGTCAACCATAACTGTCTAATAGCTTATTAGCTTTAATAAATCATCACATAAGTGAAGCTAACAACATTTCACTTTTCATATTTGCATAAATATATTTTAAGTTCAAAATAGTGTTAAACAAAAAGCAGCATGTGTAAACCCAGGCCCCTCAAGGGTCCACACTCCCCCAGTGCAGAGAATAAGCACCGTTCTGCACAAGATGGGCTTGAATGTGGCAGCATGTTATTTCTGCAGCCACATTTGGGCCAAGCTGAGAAAAGCCTATTCCTACTTCTGCTATAACCTTTCATCATGAAAACCCATGAATCTGTGAGACCACCTGGATGAACTATAACCCAAAACTAGTGCTTAAATGCTGAGGCTAGTCCATGTGACAACGTGGCCTTTGTTATTCTAATGAGTGATGACGATGTGCTTCAGGAACATTTATTCTCAAATGCCCAAGAATCATCTGCATGAACTGAAGAAATGCTGACCCTGCAACAGATATGTCATATAATACAAATACTCACCTGAATGAAGACAGCGTCTAGAAATTCTGTCAACGTTATGTGTTCATTAATCTGTTTTATTGATTTAAGATTATTAAAACTCATGAAAATGTCTGTCTTTAGCCCTATTATTTCATATCAAATGGCTCAAGGAATCTTTAAATTCAATGATTGTGCTCACATTACTGATTGTATCAAAACGTCTAGGTAATTGCTGAAAAATATTCATGCTTCAGTACAAAAGTCCAAAGAGGAGCAGTAGACGGGATTCAAGAGCCAGTCTGCCCTCAATTAAACAAAAGAGGGAAACTGGGTCAGAATCACTTTGGGCTCTAAGTGTTCCCTTCAAGTGTGCACCATAGTGTGCATTTAAGATTCCCGGCAGGAATAGCAAAACTGCAGACAACATGATGAGAGCATACTGTAATTGATTTGTGGTGGAAGACTTTAAACAACATAAAAACCAACAAAACTATATGAAAAAACTACAAACTTGTAGCTTCTGATAGAGAAAAGAGGATTGTACACTGAAAACAGACCTGAGATATCCAGTACCTGAACTAAAGCAGCTAAAGCAGCCCAGGCTTAGACTGCCGAGACAGGTCATGGGTTTTCATCATGAGTGGGAATTTGCTCTGGCAGAGTAGCTCTGACAAACCGGCCAAGGAGTCCAGCTGTTTTCAGAGAACCGGGTGTGGGCGGCTGGAGCCAGAAATAAGTTGACCTATCACAGTTCTCCCATATCATGGTGGGCGGAGCATTTCTCACGCTACTGACCTATAATTGAGTCCAGCCACTTCCTGTAGGCAATGGCAAAGCGGTTTTGCTCGGTGCTCCGGCAGCCCGTGAGGATTCTAGAGACAAACGTGTGCTCGGAGGGAAGTGTGGGGTGGGGAAGCAGTGGTCCCCGCTTTAGTCGCTTGGTGTCCTGCGTGTAGCTTCCGTGTTTGCTCCCATCCAGAACACAGTCAACGTCCATGGTCTGGGAGGTGCTGCTGTCGTCACAGGGCTCCTCGCTGAGGAGGACATCGGTGTGGGTGAGAGGTGGAGATTGTGACCCTGCCCCCTGCAGGTGCTCCCTCCACCACTGGTGCCACAGGTAGAAGACATGTCGCCTG